GACATTGACGTCTCAGGACCCAAGGTGGACGTTGATGTTCCAGATGTGAATATTGAAGGTCCAGATGCGAAACTGAAAGGCCCCAAGTTCAAGATGACGGAGATAAATATCAAAGCTCCCAAAATCTCCATGCCTGATGTCGACCTGGATTTGAAAGGATCCACAGGCAAAGGAGATTTCGATGTGTCTGTCCCTAAGATTGAAGGGACTTTCAAAGGCCCAAAAGTAGACCTTAAAGGTCCAGGTCTGGATCTTGAAGGCCCTGATGCCAAACTCAGTGGCCCACATTTGAAGATGCCCTCACTAGATATATCTGCCCCTAAAGTAACTGCACCTGATACTGATTTGCATCTCAAGGCACCCAAAATTGGAGTTTCTGGTCCCAAATTAGAAGGCGGTGAACTGGACCTCAAGGGACCCAAAGTTGATTTCGAAGCTCCAAGCTTAGATGTACACGTGGAGAGCCCAGATATTAACACTGAGGGGCCAGATGTGAAAATTCCCAAATTTAAGAAACCCAAGTTTGGGTTTGGGGCAAAAAGCCCCAAAGCTGACTTCAAATCACCTTCCCTTGATGTGACAGTTCCTGAGGCAGAGCTGAATGTTGAGGCTCCTGAAATTAGTGTTGGTGGCAAGGGCAAGAAAAGTAAGTTTAAAATGCCTAAAATTCACATGAGTGGTCCTAAAATTAAGGCCAAAAAACAAGGATTTGATTTGAATGCTCCTGGGGGTGAGATTGATGCCAGCCTCAAGTCTCCTGATGTAGATGTCAACGTTGCAGGGCCGGATGCCTCACTTAAAGTCGACGTGAAATCTCCCAAGACCAAGAAACCTATGTTTGGAAAAATGTACTTTCCAGATGTAGAATTTGACATTAAGTCACCTAAATTTAAAGCTGAAGCTTCCCTCCCTGGCCCCAAAATGGGGGGTGAAATCCAGGCACCTGACCTGGATATTTCCTCACCAGAGATTAATGTGGAAGGTCCTGACATCAAGCTGAAGGCTCCCAAGTTCAAGGTGCCAGGTGTGGATGTCTCAGGGCCAAAAATAGAGGGCGACTTGAAAGGCCCCAGGGTGCAGGCAAACTTGGATGCATCTGACATCAACATTGAAGGCCCAGATGCTAAAGTCAAAGCACCGTCATTCAGCATTTCTGCCCCTCAAGTCTCCATCCCTGATGTGAATGTTAACTTGAAAGGACCAAAGATAAAGGGTGATGTCCCCAGTGTGGGACTGGAAGGACCAGATGTAGATCTGCAAGGTCCAGAATCGAAAATTAAGTTCCCCAAGTTTTCGATGCCCAAGATCGGCGTCCCTGGTGTGAAGATGGAGGGTGAGGGAGCTGAGGTCCAGCTGCCCTCTCTAGAAGGAGGCTTGAGCGCACCAGATGTTAAGCTTGAAGGGCCCGATGTGTCTCTGAAAGGGCCAAAAATAGACTTGCCTTCAGTGAACCTCTCTGCGCCAAAAGTCTCTGGACCTGACCTTGACCTGAACTTGAAAGGACCAAGTTTGAAGGGAGGCCTGGATGTATCTGTTCCCAGCATGAAGGTGCACGCTCCTGGGCTTGACCTCAGAGGTGTCGGTGGAAAGGTGGAGGTGGAAGGTGATGGTGTGAAAGTGCCTGGAATTGATGCCACAGCAATGCTTGATGTCGGTGCGCCAGATGTGACCCTGAAGGGACCAAGCCTGCAGGGAGACCTGGCTGTCTCTGGTGACATCAAGTGTCCTGAAGTATCAGTAGGTGCTCCTGACCTAAGCTTGGAGGCACCTGAAGGTGGTATCAAACTTCCTAAGATGAAGCTGCCCCAGTTTGGCATCTCCGCTCCAGGGTCCGACTTGGACATCGGCGTCAAGGGGCCACAAGCCGCTGGAGAACTAAAGGGGCCCGGGATAGATTTGAACCTCAGAGGCCTGAACCTGAAAGGGCCTCAGATCTCTGGCCCTCAAATCTCAGCACCAGATGTGGACTTGAACTTGGAAGGACCAAAAGCAAAAGGCAGCCTCGGGGCCAGTGGTGACATGAAAGGCCCCACGGTTGGAGGAGGTCTTCCGGGCATCAGTGTTCAAGGCCTAGAAGGAAACCTCCAGACGCCTGGCATTAAGTCATCCAGATGTGAGGTGGAGCCGCCAGGTGTGAATGTGAAACTCCCAACTGGGCATATTTCTGGTCCTGAAATCAAAGGTGATCTGAAAGGTTCAGGAATAGGTTTCCACGGGGCCTTTCCTGACATTGGCATGAAAGGGCCTTCCTTTAACGTGGCATCTCCTGAGTCAGATTTTGGTGTCAGCTTGAAAGGCCCGAAAATCAAAGGAGGCATGGATGTTTCAGGGGGTGTCAGTGCCCCAGATATCAGCCTGGGTGAGGGGCATGTGAGCGTCAAAGGTTCCGGGGGGGAGTGGAAAGGACCCCAGGTCTCCTCTGCTCTCAACGTGGATGCACCTAAGCTTGCCGGAGGACTTCATTTCTCAGGACCAAAGATAGAAGGAGGTGTCAAAGGAGACCAGATTGGACTTCAGGGTCCTGGGCTGAGCGTGTCTGGGCCTCAAGGTCACTTGGAAAGCGGATCTGGAAGAGTAACATTCCCCAAGATGAAGATCCCCAAGTTCACCTTCTCTGGCCGTGAGCTGGTTGGCAGAGAAGTAGGGGTGGATATTAACTTCCCTAAAGCGGAGGCCAGTGTCCAGTCTGGTGCCGGAGAGGGCGAGTGGGAAGAGTCTGATGTAAAACTTAAAAAGTCCAAAATCAAAATGCCCAAGTTCAACTTTTCCAAACCTAAAGGGAAACCTGGTGTCACCGGCTCACCGGAAGCATCCATTTCAGGGTCCAAAGGTGACCTGAAGAGCTCCAAGACCAGCCTAGGCTCTCTGGAAGGAGAGGCAGAAGTCGAAACGTCTTCGCCCAAAGGCAAATTCTCCTTATTCAAAAGCAAGAAGCCACAGCACCGCTCAAATTCCTTCAGTGAAGAAAGGGAGCATTCTGCATCTTCTACCCCTCCGGGAACTTTGGAGTTCGAAGGTGGGGAAGTGTTGCTGGAAGGCGGGAAAGTCAAAGGGAAACATGGGAAGCTGAAATTTGGTACCTTTGGTGGATTGGGGTCAAAGAGCAAAGGTCATTATGAGGTGACTGGGAGTGATGATGAGGCAGGCAAGTTACAGGGGAGTGGAGTGTCCTTGGCCTCTAAGAAGTCCCGACTGACATCTTCTAGCAGTGACAGTGGGACTAAAGTTGGCATGCAGCTTCCCGAGGTGGAGCTGACAGTTTCCACAAAGAAAGAGTAGCAGGCCTCTGTGTGTGTGTACATATATGTATAAAAATACATCAGCCTTGGGTGAGTTTGTATATAAACTCCAAAGAGAAACACGCTGACAGCCTCAGCAGTAACGCAAACACCTGGCCTCTGGCAGGGGCGAGTGCTGAAAAGACAAGCGCCTTTAGGCTCCTCCTGGAGCTTTACAGATAGGTAAAGAGTTCTCAGTTCTTCGCCCAGCCCGTGTGCAAAGTCAACAGTATTTGCCTTAAGATTTCAGGTTTTTGTTTTTGCATCGAACGCTGAGAGCTCCTGTTTACTAAGCAAGCTTTTGTGTTTATTATCCTCATTTTTACTGAACATTGTTAGCGTTGGGGTCATGGAAACCCACTTCTTCATTGTAATGACTTTTGGGGCTTATGTTAGTCAGGGTGGGGGGTAGAGAAGGCAGTAGAGGGGGGCCAGACCTTCACTTCTCCTGCCGTCGGATCTACTCAAACAGGAAACACCCAAAGATGGCTGAGAGGAGCTGCCAGGCAGGGCATGTGGGTGTTTCTAGAACTCTTTAGCGTTGCTTTTTCTTCCGCAGGGGTGGCGGTCCCAGCCCGTTTGGTGCTCATGATGAGAGGGAATTTAGAATCTGTTTGCAAATTAGCCAACCCACCAACGGCACGAGGGCCTTCCATTCTGTGTGTTGTAAGAGAAATGTTTTCTTTGTGATCGCCACGTTCCTGATATTAATTCTGATTTCTTTTAACAAATGTTATCGTGATTAAGGAAATTTCCAGCACTTTAATGGCAAATTAATTGAGAATGTAAGAAAATTGATGCTGTCAAGGGCAAATAAAGCTGTTTATTAACCCGGATGTCCTGTGCCTTTTATATTCTGTAATGGGAGGATGAGGCCTAGGGAGGCTGCACACCCAGCCCTGACAGGTCAGACTGGGTCCACTCAGTGGCATTGCTAGTTGCATTAGTGGGTGATGGGAGGGATTCTTTGCTTCTCGATTCTCATGGTGAGGCTGGTTGCTGAGAAATCAAGAGAGGCTGGGCACGCTGGCAGCCCGAGCCCCAGGACCTGCCCACCAATTTGGCATCCTCAGATAGGAATATACGATTCAGAAATGGTTCAGACGTGAACGGAAGAAAAGGCCTATGGAATGGCAGAAAGGGATCTGACCGTGGGTCACAGGCCTGCCAGCTGTTCCAAACTTGGCTGTAGGTTTGCTGGCTGGCCTCGTTACCTGCCCTTCTGGGCCTCAGTTTCCCCTTCGAAATAAGGGTGCTGATCTCGAATCACATGTCTTTATGCTTCCTTCTAGTCCACGTGAGTGCTAAACTTTATGAAAAATCTCTTCTGACAGAAGTCCCCTCCCCCACCCCCTTTATTCTGGCCTTCCCTTGAGGCATGCAGGATCTTGGTTCCCCGACCAGGGATCGAACCCACGTCCCCTGCATTGGGAGCACGGAGTCCTAACCACTGGACCGCCAGGGAAGTCCAAAAGTCCCCTTCTGATTTACAGCTCTGTAGACAATACAGAGTGGGGGGACCTTCTAGAAACTGGCTTCTGATGTTGGTCATTGCTGGGCAGAGGGCAGCGCCTTCTTAGGCCAAAATGATCGAACCAAGCTCATCCCCCTTGCCATTCCCCAGAGCTGCTTCCTTTCTGCCAGTGGAAGCAGCTCTGTACCTCTCCCATCAGCCCTGGAGCGGAGATACCAGCTCCAACCCCCTCCTGCCCTCTCCAGAGCCAGCTTGTCTGCGGGTCTCAGCGCAGAGCAGTGGGATCTCCTGCCCAGCGTGAAATCCACCTGCCCTCGCTTGGATTTCAGACGGGCCCTTGCCAGCTTCATCCACTCCCGCCTCAGCCAGCAGAGCCTGTGTCCCTGGGGGGCTTTGGAGCTCACGGGTGGCTCTTGCTTTTGGAAAGAGATAGGTAGCAAGGGATGTGCTTGATCCCCTGTGGCTTTTTAAAATATTTTTTAAAAATTTTATTTATGTATTGAAATATAGTTGATTTACAATGTTGTATTAGCTTCAGGAGTACAGCAAAGTGATTCAGTTTTATATAAATAAATAAATAAATAAATATATATATATATATATATATATTCTTTTCCAGATTCTTTTCCCTTATAAGTTATTACAAAATATTGAATATAGTTCCCTGTGCTATACAGTAGGTCCTTGTTGGTTATCTGTTTTATATATAGTAGTGTGTATCTGTTAATCCCATACTCCTAATTTATCCCTCCCCCAGCCCCCGTGGCTTTTTAAAAGCTGATTTTGTGAACTGGGCAAGAGTTTCCTCACCCATAAAATAGGGGTAGCATCCACAGGACCAGAGTCTGTCTGTGCAGGTATTTGGGTTGTCATTGAAGGGAATAGCATTCATGTCACAGCCATATGTTTGTTTATTGAGAGCCTGAGGGTGGGCATGGAGTCCTAGGGAGGTGGGTGTGAGCCCCTGCACACACACTGAAAAGCTAGAATGTGCACACGCCCACTGGCACACGTGCCTACACGCAGCTGCCTTCCGTCCTCACCAGGTCTGGGCACCCCACAAGTGTGCTGCTTTCAACCACGGCTCAAATCCCAGTTCTCCGTTCTGAAGCTGAAGAGTGTGGAGTGGGACAGAGTGTGCAGACGTGTGGTCCTGGCGTCTGGAGGGGGGATAAGTGGGTGACAGTGCGGTGCACTTGTGTACACAGCCAGGGGGATGCCCACTGGGGCGCTGGAAAGATCTCCCAGGCAGAACTACCCAGGTTGTCCAATAATATGGCAATTAAAAAAAATTTTTTTTAGCTTGAGGAAGGGGTGATGTACACTAGTGTGGCCCTCAGCGTCCATTCATTCAACAAGTATTTTTAGAGCATCACGTGGTTAGATGCTGCCCCTGCCCCCCTGGCCTCAGAATCCTCCACTGCTGACCTCCCCAGACCGAATGATGTGATGGATGTGGGACACTGGAGCACTGCAAACACACACGTGTAAGCGACGCTTCTACCAGGGACGATGAGGATGATGGTGATGTTTCCCTGGACTCTCAGGGTGCGATCTCATTGGCTGGGACAGTCAGGGGTAGTGGGTCAGATGGATCAGGAACATGGCAACGGGCCATTCAAATGTGAGAAACTTCCCAGCTGCCCTCCTCCCACATCAGGCCCAGGCTGGAGGCAGTGACCACAGGACAGGAGCCCTCCCTGCTGCAGTGACTGTTACCACCGGAAGGGGGAACATGGAGGAGGTGACAGGGGGTGGAGACGCATATGGAGGGCCCATCCCAGCGAGCTTTCCTTCACTTGTTCTGCCCACCCACTCTCAGTTCCCCCCCCTTCCTCCGTTCTTCCTGACGCCTTCTCACCGCCTACCTGATGGGGATGGTCCAAGTTATTCCCCAAAGTCCTGCAGGGCCCAGATTCAGGAGGTCTTAATACTCTGAGGTCCCAGTTCCTGCATTTGAGGGTGGGAGTGGTCTCAGGAGACCTGGAGGGGGCTGGGCTGGGCTCCTCTGGGTCCTTCCTTGGAGTTCCAGCACGGAGCCACAGCGGGGCCTACAGCCTGACAGTGCACCTTGCTTTAAGCAGTGTGACTGACTGTGGGCGTGGCTAAGGGGACGTTTGGCAAATTCAATTCTTTTTTTTTTTTTTACTTTTTTCGGCCACACCCCACAGCATGTGAGATCTTAGTTCCCCGACCAGGGATCGAACCTGAGCCCCCTGCATTGGGAGTGCAGAGTCTTAACCACTGGACCGCCAGGGAAGTCCCCAATTCAATTATGTTGAAATGCACCCCATGCTCACAAAAGGCAGTGTATGTTTTTCACCAACTCAAACTCATTTCTGTACGTGTCAGGGTCCCTACAGGAAACGTTCGTGAAGACAACTCAGCCACAGAGAATTTAACGGTGGCTGTTTATGCAGTAGTGGGCCAGGACCAAGCAGCCAACAAGGGGTGGTGAGACCCCCAGGGAGAGCGGGAGGCTGGTGCTACCCCTGGGCCTGAAGGGGCCTGAGAAGAGATGGTATTCCTGGAATCTAGCCACGAGGGGCCATAGCATCTGCCAGGACTGCCTGCCCTGAGAAGCAGGAAGAAGCTCCCTGACCTTTCCTTCTGCTGGTGCCTTGCGCTGGAGGGCAAGCGAGCCCAGGTCTCTTCTTTTAAAAAAAAAAGTTTATTTATTTGGTTGTGCCGGGTCTTAGCTGCGGTAGGCGGGCTCCTTAGTTGTGGCATGTGAACTTAGTTGCGGCATGCATGTTGGCTCTAGTTCCCTGACCAGGGGTCGAACACGGGGCCCCCTGCATTCTGAGTCTTACTCGCTGCGCCACCGGGGAAGTCCCGAGCCCAGAACTTGCGGGCAGAGGGATAGGCCTTCCGCGGGCACAGAGCAGGGCAGAGAAGCACGGAGAAGGGGTCTCAGGGTGGATGGCGCGATAGAGAACGACCAGGACAATGCCCTCATCCTCATTTTTCTGTTTGGCAAGTGTGACTTTCTATGTATTGAGGTTTCTTAAAATAGCCACGGTTATGTGGGATGTATCTAAGGTATGATCATAAAGTAATATGACAATTTTTGTTTTAAACAAACACACTTACACTCGGGGGGTGCTACACTTACTTCTGTGAAAATTTTACTGTTAAGAATATTTTTGTCCCCTCTCTTTTGGAACTACTCTCGACATCACTTGTGCATGAAAAGAAGGAACAATTTCCTTGGGGAAGCGCAAATCTTCCTCTCTTGAGGCCTGCAAATGGCCAAAGGGTCTGGAAGATCCTTCAGGGTTCCCAGGACAAAACCCTGAAAAGACCACTAGCCTGGGAGTAAGTGGGATTCGCCATGACCTTGAACAAGTGAAGGCCCCTCTTTGAGCCTCGGTTTACTCATTTGTAACATGGATAAGGCATGCATTCTCTAAGGCCCTTGCCAGTTCCAATAGTCTGTGATCTTTTCAGAAGCAAGGCTGGTTAATTAGGTGGATGGGGCTGTTTGGGGTCAAAAACAAGAAATGATTATAATGTAGTGCAACTAATTTTCCCATGTGGCTGGTAAACCAACTCAAATGTTTTGAGCAACAGCACTGTTGAAATACTGCTATGTCTCTAGTGGCCCAAAGCCAAGGCACTGCACCCCCAGGACTTTGCATGTTGCTGGCATGTGCGTCTCATTTCTCAAGTCCCATCTTAGCTCTCTGGCATTGCGTGTTAGCTGTGACGTGAGAGATGCTGCTCAGCTTGTAACTGACATTCCTTTTTTTTTTTTACAGTGTATTTATTTATTTATTTATTTATTTATTTTTGCGGTACGCGGGCCTCTCACTGCTGTGGCCTCTCCTGTTGCGGAGCACAGGCTCCGGACGCGCAGGCTCAGCGGCCATGGCTCACGGGCCCAGCCGCTCCGCGGCATGTGGGATCTTCCCGGACCGGGGCACAAGCCCGTGTCCCCTGCATCGGCAGGTGGACTCTCAACCACTGGGCCACCAGGGAAGCCCTACAGTGTATTTATTTTGAATTCAAACCTACAGAGAAGTTGCAAGAATGACACAGTGAATATCCATATAACTTTCACTTAGATTTCCCAGTTTTACCTTGTTGGTTTTAATCTCTCTCTCTCTCTCTCTCTCTCTCTCTCTATGTTATAATTATCATTATATCTGCTGAATCATTTGAAAGTGAATTGCAAACATCATGACCCTTTACTCCTAAATCCTTCAGCATGTATGGACATTCTCTTATATAACCACAAGATAAGAGCCAAATTCAGGAAACTTAACATTGTTATTATTATCTGACATATTGCCCATATTTAAATTTTACCAATTGCCCCAGTAATTACAATTTCCTCGTAGCAATGTCTTTTTTCCCATT